GCCCACCCCAGGAGCACCCACTGCTGGGAGATCCTGAAGCCACCCCTTCCCCCCCCCCACACACCCCGCGCTGCAGCCCCTGGGTGCTCTGGAGCTCCTCTGCACCCCTCGGGGCCCGAAGGGTGTCTTGCTGCTGGAGGGCGACGCTGCGCGGGCCCAGGCGAGCTGACTCCACCTCGGGAGATGCCACCTTTGATTAAATGCAGTGATAGTCGGCTTGTAATCATTTCAGCGGTAATTACAGAGCCAGGCCGTGCAGGACGTGCTCTGCTTCCTAAAATCCCCCGTTTAAAAATCCTTCCCGCCATCCCCCCTCCCCCCACCCCGCCTGTGCCCGCGCTCCGGCTCGGCGGCACTGGGAGGTGCCCGCAGCGCCTGTCCTGGCCTGCTCGGGCCCCTGGCGTCAGGGGGAGGCGGTCCACGCTGCTGTGAGCAGCCACAAGCCCACGGCCAGCTTAATCTTGGCCTGGCCCTGGCCAGGGTGACAGCCTCCCGCACGGTCACCACCAGGAGGGGGCAGGCCGGCCGGGAGGGGCCCCTCCCGGCCGCTCACTCTCTGCTCCGCTGGGCTTTGGGACTTGTCCCAGCAGAACGTTGCATTTATCTGCTCGTGAAATCTTGGTGTGGCTCTCAGGCCTCTTCGCAGCGCAGAGATGAGCCCATGCTTTGCGTGTTGCTGCCCAGTCCCATCCTGTCCTGTCCCCAGCCACCACACGGCTCGCCGCCCCCGGCACTGCTGGCCGTGAGCCCCCAACAAGAAATGTGGATCCGTTTTCAGCGTCTGAAGTAGAACTCTCATTCCCCCCGGATTCTCTATCCAGCAGGATTTTCTCCCTGTGGGAAGCACTTCGGTTTTCGTTCACATCCCAATCAGTGCTGGGAATTTTGTAGATTGGACTTTTTTTTTTCCCCCTTTCTCTTGCTGCAGTACCAGTATTTTTTTTTTTTGGAATGAAAGTCTGGAGACGCGGTAAGACCGAATGAAGGATGAGATGCGGTTGGTAGATTTAGGAATATCGGAGTGACTTTACTCCATCTATTTTTGCTTTGTTGGTTTTGGGGGGGCTCCACGTGGGAGTGCTGCATGGGGTGGGTGGGAGGGTACTCCTCACTCTGTGCTCAGGAGCCACCTGGGGGAGCAGGCCATGCAGGGTGCAAACCCAGCCTTCTTGCACACAAAGCAAGTGGGCAGCCATGGTGTGTTTTCTGAGCCTCCCCTGCCATTGCCCCCCAGATCCGAAAGTCCAGGTCTCATTGCTTGGCCCGGAGTGCTCTGGGCCACTCACGTCACACCTGGTGGCTTGGGGGGTGGGGAGCGCTCAGGGATCACACTTGGTGTGATCCCTGTACTCACACCAAGTAAGCATATACTGTACTTGGTGTTCAGCATATACTCGGCCCCATGGGCCATTTCCCTGGCTCTTTCGTACTAGGGAGAGTGTGGGTTACACCTGAGAGTTGCCCAGGGGCTGGGGCCCGAACCTGGCTTCCTGCTCACAGGCTCCGTCTTAGCCCGCTGCCCTCTCTGACCCCGGGTAGGGGGGACGAGTAGCCGTGAGTGGCCGCTGAGCGAGGGTGCCCAGTTCCCAAGCTCCCTTGCTGGCCAGAGGCAGCAGAGCGGCAGGCCAGGCCAGAGGGACATCAGTGCCTTTCATGCCGGTGGCCACGCCGATGCCTGTAGATTTCTCTGGGCACCCCGTCTCTCGGCCGGCTGTGGCATGGACGCGGGACAGGGAGCCAGGAGGGGCTGCCGGGAGGGGCAGGTGCTGCTGGGGACACGTCTCCTGACCCAGGTTTGTAATCCTGGGAGGGGAATTCCCAAACCCTGGAATGCCCCAAGGAATTCCCGCCTGCCCCCTGCCACTGCACCTCCCCCGGGTGGAGCCGGTGAAGCCACTTCAGGCGATGCCAAAATGCTCCCAAGACCGGCCTCAGGGTGTCTGGGTTCTCACAGGCCAAGATTGTTCCCTCTTGGTACTATTTTGGTTCCCTTAAGATTTTTGGATCCCTTAGATCCCCCGAGATGTTGAGATGTTCGTCACCTCCAAGTGTTCGACGCATTTCGGATAAGCAGAGCTTTCCCACGAGGAAGGGGAGAGCACTGTAGCACTGTCCTCCCATTGTTCATCGACTTGCTCGAGCGGGCACCAGTAACGTCTCAACAACTTGTAAGACTTGTTACTGTGTTTGGCATATCGAGTGTGTCACAGGGAGCTTGCCAGGCTTTGCTGTGCAGGCTTGCCCGGGCTCTCCGAGAGGGGCAGAGGAATCAAACCTGGGTCGTCCGCGTGCAGGGCAAACACCCTACCGCTGTGCTGTTTTGTAAAAGGCAGAGACTAGTGACCAAGGGAGTCCGGTCAACTGCCAGGACGCACTATTAATAGGAGAGCTGTCTAAATTTTACTCAAGCCTCTCACAGTCATTGTTTCCAGATGAGACAAGGAAGCACACCCCGAGAAGGTGGCAGATCTGGGGTTCGAAGCTAGGCTGACAGTAAGTGTTGGCAGAGGCTCCACGCAGTGCCCTGGGTTTGCAAAGCACTTTGCCGGATGCTCACACATTATCTCATAGATTGATTCTGCTTTTCCGTTAAAAAGCAGAAGGGGATTTTCTAGATCAGCATCTCACAGCCGGTCCTGGGCACTGCTGGTGAGAATCGCATCCGTGGGAACCACAGGACAAAGCCCAGTCAGAAGGCTGACACATTTTTAGTTTTTTTCTTTTCTGGCATCTCTTCCAAGGATCCAAAAAAAAAAAAAATCCTAACTAATGGAGATAGTGAGGTGATGGGCAGAAGAGCGTGCCATGCAGGGGGGCCGGTGGAGCCCCTCGGACCCTGCACCCCACACGGCCCCCTGAACACCACCAGGGCTGCGTCAGGAAGAAAAGGGCAGCGAAGTTTATTGAAATACACTGTGTGCAGAGCGGGACTTTCTGTCAGACACAGTGACCTTCTGCGTGGCACCGGGTGTGAAGGCTTGGACACAGATGGGGAAGGGCTCCCTGGCTGGTGCTCAGGGGAGGAAAGGAGTGTGCCAACAGCCACGCGCTGATACACAGTGCGTCTGAGGCCTTCCGCACACGTGGCATCACACCTCTCTGGAGACAGGCACTTAGAAGCCGGGGACGGCGTGTCCAGGAGAGAGGCAGAGGGAGTTGGTGCGATGAGCATAGAGTGATTGGTTCAGAGCCCTGGTGTTGCCGAAGGGTGGGGTTGGCAGGGGCCCAGGGCCCATGAGGGCGGGTCATCATTTGGAGAAAAGGGTCCCCCGGGTGCCATGTTGCCAAGGAAACCTACACCTCGTTTGGAGACTAGCTCTGTTTCAGCTTGTGGGGGGCCTTGGAACGCCCAAGCGAAACTTGTTTTTGGAAGTGTGTTCTGCAAGGATAAGAAAATTGCCCCGCTTTTTTTTGGGGGGGGGGTCACACCTGGCGATGCACAGGGGTTACTCCTGGCTTTGCACTCAGGAATCACTCCTGGCGGTGCTCGGGGGACCATATGGAATGCTGGGGACGGAACCTGGGTTGGCCGTGTGCAAGGCAAACTCCCTACCTGCTGTGCTATTGCGAGGGTCGTGAGGGTCGTGCCCACTGGGGCCCTGGGTGCCGGGTCGGATTTCTGTTCAGAAGAAGCTCAGTTTGAGGGGAAGGTGAGGGGGAGTCAGGGAGACCCATGGGCTCTCGTTGGGAGGGAGGGAGAAGCCTCGGAAAGGCTGGCCCCATGGAGCTACCGAAGGTGCGTGCGGCTTGCGTGGCTTGCGAGACAACTGGATGTCTTCCTGTTGATTCCGAGAGCACTGGGAGCGAGCTGTGGCCAACCCGTCTCTGAGGACAAAACTCTTTTTGTCTTCTTATGTTCATTATTCTCCCTCTCCCTTCCATGGGGGACGGGAGGGACTCTCCAAAGCTTCCCCCTTTGCTGCACATGGGGCTGAATCTGATGTCTCCTCGGCGTCCAACTCTCTAGGGTCTGGGTTTTTGTTTTGTTTTGTTTTTCCCCCATGAACGCTTTTTTTTTTTTTAATTAGTGAAACCGTGAGTGTGTACAGTTGTAGACTTACGAACTTGGGTTTTTGTTTTGTTTTTCCCTCATGAACGCTTTTTTTTTTTTTAATTAGTGAAACACCGTGAGGTACGGTTGTAGACTTACATATTTTTGTGCTTGGGTTTCAGTTATACAATGATCAAGTACCCATCCCTCCACCAGCGCCCATCCTCTACCACCACGGGTCCCAGTATCCCTCCCACCCCCCCACCCCCTTCATCCCACCCTGCCTCTGTGGCAGGGCATTCCCCTTTGTTCTCTCTCTCCTTTTGGGTGCTGTGTTTTGCAAAAGAGGCATTGAGTGGCAATCATGCCCATGAATGTATTTTAACCTCTTGGTGCCAGGGCTGATCATTTAGGAATCGTTTTAATGTGGTCGAGAGTGGGGCAATCAGCCCCTGAGTCCTCTTCAGCAGGTGGAGCTGACATCTGAAATTGGGCTTTCCCGTCCTTGACATTTGAAGTGAGAAATAAAAAGTCTTTTTTTTTTTTTTTCGGTCTTGCATGCCAAGATCCTCCCAAGAGAGTTGGCTGAAAATAAAGTAAATGCTGTTTTGGGTCCCGGGTAATCTTTTAATGATGAAATCAAGCCTTTTGATTTTAATCTTCCAAAAGGTACAATACTGATCCAGGAGCGCGGCCTTTTCAAGTCCACATCCTGCCGAGTCCCGCAGATGAAAAGCTGCTCTCTCTACTCCGTATTTTGCAAACCAAAGTAAAAATATCATTAGTCTTGTCTCGGCCCCAGCGTGGCCTGGAAAATAAAGACTGTTTGGCGCGCAATCCGGAGGAAAAGCTGCTTTTCCGGGCTGAGACCCAGGACTGCTGGAGGCCTTGGGGGGGCGGGGGGGAGGGAGTCCCCCAAGTTTCTCTCTCTTGGGCTCATCTCGTGGTGTTGGTTCCTTTCACCCACATACCCCAACCCTGGGTTGATGGCGCCTATTGTTTCTGACAGCCTGTATAATGAAGACAGAAACCTGCTTCGGATCCGAGAGAAGGAACGGCGTAGCCAGGAGGCTCACCCGGAGAAAGAGACATTCCCCGAGAAGATCCCCCTCTTTGGAGAGCCCTACAAGGTACTTGTTGTGAACCGGAAGGCCCCCATCTTGATTTACCCCCATATTCAACTCTGTGATGGGGGAGTCACAGCTGTGCAAATAAGACCCCCCCCCCCCCCATCCTAGAGATTCTCAAAAATAAAATAAGGAGGGGCTGGAGTGATAGCACAGCGGGTAGGGCGTTTGCCTTGCACGCAGCCAACATGGCCAACACAGTTTCGATTCCCAGCATCCCATATGGTCCCCCGAGCACCGCCAGGAGCGATTCCTGAGTGCATGGGCCAGGAGTAACCCCTGAGCATCGCCGGGTGTGACCCAAAAAGCAAAATAAATAAATAAAATTAAATTAAATTAAAAAATAAAATAAGGAGAGTCTCTGAGGCTTGTTATTTCACTTTGCCCAGTCTCGCGTTTTCTTGGGTCATGCTACTTTCCTGTACTCGGTGCTGTGGGTCCCTGGTAGACTTCTCCACGGGGGGGGGGGGGGGGGGGGGGGGGGGGGGGGGTTGGGCTTTAAATCACACGTTTGCATTCCTCCGTGCTCCACGTTAACCTTGGGGTGTTTCTCCCCTTTTTGGATGGTCTTACGGAACCTGGTTTCTGAAGACGTGGTTTTCCTTAGACTGCTTGCGGCTGCCGGCACCAAACCCGGCAGAGCTCTGGGTGGCGGGGAGCAATGTGTCAGAGGTCGAACCTGGGTCCTCGGGTCAGTAAGGCCCCTGTTCTGGCAGCCTCGGCCACAGAGCTTTCCAAAGGTCATTTGGCCAGAGCAGGAAGGTTTGCACAAGGCCAGCCCCGGTTCGGACCCCCCCAACCCCCCATCCCATCTGGTCCTTGGAGCATCCCCCAGGTGCAGGAGTCACCCCTGAGCATCACCATGTGCTGTACCCAAACTGAAACAAAGTTTCATTAGATATCAGAGTTGGGCAACCCTGGATGTAGGTTTGCAGAGAAGTCCAGGAAAGGAGAGGAATGGGGCAGGGGTGGGGGCGAGGGCCCCGGGAGTATCAAGGCCAGCACCAGCTGCCCTGCAGGGGTCACCTGACCTCAGCGATTGTTCTGTGAGCCTCAGCAGAAGCGCTGGGAGGGAGGAGCCCCTGTTACTTTGTTGCAGAAGGAGCCAGGCGATGAGCTGCCCCTGTTACTTTGTTGCAGAAGGAGAAAGGCGATGAGCTGTCCAGCCGCATCCAGACCATGCTGGGGGCCTACGAGGAAGTGACGAAACTCCTCCGGCCCCGCGCCCAGCCCTGCCGCGCCCACTCGTCCGAGCTGCAGCCGGCCAAGCCACGGGCTCCAGAGAAGGGCAGCAGCCCCGGGGTCCAGCGCCATCCGCTCCTGGTGGCCCCCGTGAACCACACCTCGAAGATGCCACCGCCACGGGCCGACCCTCCGCCCGTCGTGCACGCCAGAGGTTGCGCGGCCCCCGACGGCCAGCATCGGACACAGGACCGTCTCGGCCCAGAGGGCTCTAGCCCTGGTACCCCCCGAAAGGGCGTCCGCCGGGCCGCCGGGAGCCAGTGCGCCGGGAGGGAGCTGCCCGCCCCGCTAACCTCGCTCTCGCCCGGGCACTGCGGCCAGGGCCGCGGCATGGGCATGTCCTCTCCGGGCCTGGCACTGCGGGCCCCGGACAAGGACGGCCCTCAGGACGGCATCCTGGCGCTCGCTGGCCCGGGGGTTGCCTTCCCGCCCCCGCCGCTGCCCTCCAAGAGCCTGGCCATGCAGCAGAAGCCCACGGCCTACGTCCGGCCCATGGACGGGCAGGACCAGGTGCCCAGCGTGTCGCCCACGCTGAAGCCGCTGCCCGAGGACTACCGGCCGCCGGCCTTCGAGAAAACGGACTTAAAAGTGCCTGCCAGGGCCAGGCTGGCCAAGCTGAAGATGCCCGCACAGTCCGTGGAGGTGAGTGAGTGGGACAGCCCTGGGGCAGGCCAGGGGCTCTCTTGGGGGCGGCGTCCGGGGTCCAGGGTCCGGGGTGGCGGGGCGAGGGAGGGAGAGGGAGCTTCTTTATGTTGGGGAGTGGTTGATGCCGGAGGCTGATGTCTGGGGTGACCCACCGAGGGCCTGCTGGTTTGCAGCGGGCACTTGGGCCCGGGAGGGCTCAGCTTCTGGCCTCTCAAGCGTGGGCATTTCGGGAGGGCATCTTGGAGGGCTTCTGAGTGGCCGTGGGTCCGTTGGTGGGGTGCCAGCCCCAGAAGCGGGCTCACCCCTGAGCCCCGCCTGTGGCTTCTTGGGAATCACGTGCCAGTGCAGAGGCTGCCCGAGCCCGTGTGCGCCTTGCGCCCACGTGGCCAAGCACATGTGGTTCCTGGGCACGTGTGTCGCCCACGTCTCCCCTCTTGAGATGCGGACTTTTACGCTTTCCTCTCTAATGCTGGGGTGTGTGTAGGGGGCTCTCTTCGCCGTTGGAGGGGCCCGCGTTCTCTCTTGAGTGCATTGCTCTGTCTCTCCTGTTTTGTTTTGTTTTGTTTTTTTTGGCCTTTTGGGTTACACCTGGCGATGCACAGGGGTTACTCCGAATCACGTGCCAGATCTGGGGCGATGCTTAAGCAGTTCAGATTACTGTGAGGTCCAGTGGGTGGGTCGGTTCCCTGCGCAGCGTACGGGCCTCTCCTCCCCACGGGCGGCGTCCCCCACCCAGACCCCAGGCGTTCCTAGGCCTGTCCTGGCGTTGGTCAGCTCGTCCCAGTGGCTGCTTCCTGTGCTAGAGACGGAGCCTGCACTGTCTCCCAGGCCCCCGGCTGGGCCGCTGCCGCCCCCCCCCACCCCTGGGCCTCTCTGGGTTCTCACCCGGGGACTCCCTGCCCCCTTCCCCACCCCCCAGGTGTCTGGCCCCCAGCAGGTGCGCGTGGGTGCGACCTGCTGTCCTGCTGCTTCTCTGGGTTGGTGCCAGGCACACAGTGCTCCCTGCCGGGCTGCTCTTTGCTCAGGTGCTCCCCCAGACAGCCCCTCCTTCTGTTACCTGATTGCACTGGAGACCTTTTGGGGGGACCAATGCACTAGTTTGTCTGGCACCCCATCACTGCTCCACCAGGTTCTGGCTGCTACTGCAACTTTGGTTAGTTTGGGAACCACCCCGGGTGATGCTCAGGGCTTACTCCTGGCTCTGTGCTCGGGGGCCATTCCTGGGAGGCTCAGGGACTCTGTTTGGTGCCCAGCATCGATCTTGGGAGACTAAGATGCTGAACTCTCTCTCTTGCTCTCTCACTCTCTCTCGTTTGTTCTCTCGCTCCGCTTCTCTCTTTCTTTGTCTCTCTGTCTCTCACTCTCTCTTCCTCTGACTCCAGCACTGGCTTCTTGAAAAGTGTAAAGGAAGACAGTTGTTAGTTCTCACCACACAGACATAACAAGTGAAAGCAAGGGGCCGCACTGTAAAAGACGGGGACTTGTTTGTGAAGATTGGATTACTGTAGGGGCCGGAGGCGCCTACAGCAGGGAGGGCCCTTGCCGTGCACAGGCTCACCTGGGTTCGATCCTGAGCAGCCCACCTGGTGTCCCCCCCCAACATCACCAGGGCTATTGTGCAGAGCCACGAGTAACTCCTGAGCATCTCCGGGGTTAAAAATGGGGGGGGGGGGGCGGGGAGAAAGATTGGCTCTCTCTAAAACATGTGAAGTACTTTGAAGGGAACCATTTGCTTCCCACTTGAAGAAGAGCAGGGGCATGTCGGGAGAGCGGGTCATGAATATGACACAGACGTATCTGAGGGAGGGCCCACGGGTTACTGCGTGGGGCATGGAGTCGTCCCACCGCCCCAGGGTTTGGGGAGCCGCAATTGCTCTCTGCGGGGAGGGAAGCTTGGTCCTGACCTCACACAGGCCCTGAAGGATCCTGCCCCCTTGGTAAAACAGAAAGAGGTCGTAATAGTGGAGTAGAAGAGTCACGGTTAAGGAGATTTACTTAGAGAAATGTCTGTGTGTGTGTGTGTGTCTGTGTCTGTGTCTGTGTGTCTGTGTGTGTTGGGGATAAGGGGGAGTGAGCTTGGCCTTCTCCAGAGTAGAGGAAGCAGAGGATGGATGGCTTTGGAGAGAAGGTTACATACAACTTTTCCCAATTGTGTTGGCCTGGACGTCTCTGCATACAGCAAAGTGAATCTGGGTGTCCCAGGGAAATCCCGGGCTGCTTGGAGGCCCTTTCCTGCCCTCCTCACAGTCTTTGGATCTCCCTGTAGCATCTTCCTTTCCGAAGGCCCAGAAGGGTGTGCAGAAAGGCACCTGGCCTTCTAACCAAGACAGCTACAGACACGGGGGAGCTTCCTAATCGAAGCAGACCTGTTTGTATTTCACTCCAGGTAAAGGGACTTCAAAAAAAAAAAAGTGGGGGCTGGAGCGATAACACAGTGGGGAGGGCGTTTGCTTTTCATGCGGCCAACCCGGGTTTGATTCCTGGCATCCCATAGGGTCCCCCGAGCACCACCAAGAAGTGATTCCTGAGTTCATGAGATAGGAGTAACCCCTGTGCATCACTGGGTGTGACCCAAAAAGGAAAAACAAAAACAAAACAAAACAAAAACCAACAACAAAAAGTGACATTGAAGCAGGGAGGAAAGAGTTGGACGTTAAAGGCTTGGACGCTTTTTAAACACAGTGAGTGGGTCCTCTTAGTGGCAGCCCACCGCCCAGCCACGTGGCCCCGAGCCCGGCGGGTGTGTGGGTGGGATGCGGCCCCGCTGGAGGCTGTGTGGGTGTGGGGAAGGCCAGCCTGGACTCTGTCTGATAGCGAGTCACGGCCACCGTGCACCTCCTGGCCCCCGGCCTCAGCCCCCAGCTTGAGAGCGACCGCCCTTCGCCGAGCCAGGATTCCGGGCAGCCTGTGCGCCTGCCCCGTGAGGGAGAGATAAGCGCTATTGAACTGTGTCCAAGGCCTCCAGCTCTGCAGGCTCCCAGCGTATCAGCCCCGGCACATAGTTTCCGAGTGACGCTCTTGCGATGAGCACAGGCCTCTCCCGGGACCAGACAAAGGGGTTTTCTCGGCACAGACGCTTCTCCGCCGCCCACCCTTGGGGTGCGCGGGAGCTGGGCCGTGTTGGCCCTCTCTGGGCGGCACTGGCCAGGTGAGAGGTGACACCCGGCTCCACCTACCCCAGTGTGTGAGGCGGGATCGGGACTCAGTGTCCTGGAGCGAAAAGAAGGAACCCGGGAGGAAGCGACCCACCCTTGAGCTCCCCGCGTGGGTTTCGGTTTTAGATGGCGGAACCCCCAAACCAGGGAAAGGATGGTCCTCTGGGGACCAGTGTAGGGGATGGGAGGGACACAGAGGTCTTTGGCTGCAGGGTTGGGGTGCTCAGGGCCAGTGCTCAGGAAACTGTGCCTTGTGGGCATCGAACCTGTGCTTCCTAAATGTGTTCCTTCCCCCTGAACCCCCAGGGCTCGAGGTGTGGAATTCGTTCGCTGTTGCTACACTTTGGCCCCGGCTGGGCCTTCCCTGAGCGCTCCGTCTTCCCCACGCTGCGAGGCAGGTCGTCAGGGGAGGGAAGCTCACTGCGTGACACTGAGTCACCCACCCCCGTGGGGGGGGACACGGGTTCCTGCTTCCATATTTAGCCCTTGTATCTGAAATCTCCGGGAGAGGAATTCCCCAAAGGTGCAACGACTGTCCCCCACACACTCCTGCAGGTCCCGGGACGTGCTCGCTCACTGCACCCCTTCCCCCCCACCCCCAACCCCACCACCCGCTGTCTGGGCCCAGCTCCCCCCACCACCCCCCCCAGATACTGTGTGTGTTTCTCCTGCAGGGAGCAACCCTGGCAGTGGGGGTGGGCGGACAGGAGGTGCCAGGGACTCAGCCTTGGCCTTGGTCCCGACCGAGCACTTCTGGCTCGATTGTTCCGAGCCTCTCCCGTGCTCATGGGGGTGACAGTGGCGGGTGGGAGTGACGGCCCTGGTGGTCTCGGTCTCTGTCGGGTCAGGGGCCACCTTCACTCCCGTGACCGCTGGGCTCAGTCCGCCGTGAAGGCACAAGAAGACGTCCCGATGAGCCAAGAGCAGATTTGAGCAGGCAGGAGCCGCGGGCTCAGAGCTCGGCAGCGGAAGCCCCCTCCCCACGGTACGGGTGCGAGCCTGGCTCTCCTGTGGCCGTGCTCCCAGCCCCGCCTGTGTGAACTCTCCACGGCTGCTATTATTGGGTCTTACTTGGGTTTGGGGCCACATCTTACAGTGCTCGGGGTCACAGCTGACAGTGCTGACGGCCTCTTCCTGGCTCTATGCTCGGGGTCATCCTTGGCAGGGCTTGGGGGCGGGGGCACAGTATTGGTGCCAGGAATTGAACCCAGGTCAGCAGCCTGCCAGGCACATGCGCTTTCTGCTGTGCCATCTCTCAGGCCTGGATTTATTATTATTATTATTGGCTGGAGCGATAGGACAGTGTGTAGGGCATTTGCCTTGCATGCGGCCGACCCAGATTTAATTTGATTCCTCCGTCCCTCCTGGAGAGCCTGACAAACTACTAAGAGTATCATGCCTGCACGGGAAAGCCTGGCAAGCTCCCCATGACATGTTGCATATGCCAAATACAGTAACAAGTCTCGATGGAGACGTTACTGGTGCCCGCTCGAGCAAATCGATGAACAAAAGGACAGTGCTACATTATTATTATTATTATTATTATTATTATTTATATGGGCCAGTCCCAAGCGTGAGGGTGGCTCCACCCTCAGGTCCCAGCTGTCCCCTAAAGGTCTGTCCTTCACCCTCATCTTTGGGGCTACGGTAGGACACCGGGGATCCCCATCGAGGCAACACCAATCTTTCAGCAGCACTGTTGCGTTCCACACGGTGTCCTGGGGGCCCGGGCATGAGTCATGTGCCGTCAGCCCCAGACTTGCCCTGCGACCTGCCAGGTGTCCCAGCCCAGAGGCGAAGCCGGTGTCCAGTGTCCCAGTCGGGCCCGAGTTCCAGCCCTGA